AGAGAGAGAGAGAGAGAGAGAGAGAGAGAGAGTATGTTTGTGTGTGTGTGTGTGTGTATGAGCTTGTGTGTGTGTGTGTGTGCGTGCACGTGCTTGCGCGCACGTGCGTGTGTATTGAACAGTTTCGAAGCAAAATGCGACATAATATCCTTTTGTCCAGTTTTGAAAAAAAGAAGTGCAGATTTCTACTCTTCACTTATTTACTGAATAAATTTGAGCAATTTGGCTGAGGCTAAAAATGGTGTAATGCTCAGGCGACATTTTCTGTACTCGTTAGATGTCATCTATGTTGGATTCTTTATCATCCTATAAGTAATGGGTTCTCCACATATCCGTGAAAAATTGCTGTATATCCACATTGATTGATTGATTGATTGGATTATTACAAAATGATACAGATCCTTATCAGATGATATTAAGTCCTAAAAGCAACTTGAGGGCGACATGAAAAAGATTAATGACACCATTAATAAAACTGCCATTATAATGGTGACAGGATCAACAGTTTGATTTGAAATCGTTTGTATCTGCTCATCAGTTCAACAATGTCCTTCCATTATAATATTCTGTATTTTTGTCTCAATTGCTATTTTGTAGTTCAACACCAAACCATAATACCACTTCTCTTTGTTTTAAATTTAGCAAAGAGGGATAATTTAAACTTGACGAATATAGAAGAATAATTATATTACTCAGAATTCTCAGGAACAGAAAGAGATGACAACAATTTTTTATTAACTGCAAGCAAATCCATGTAACTCGAGAGGAAAGAACCATTTGGCTTGCCAATATGTCACCAACTGTGTAGAGACAATGAGGATTCCCGTATGATGTTGATATTTATGTATATTTTATACCCCTCCTCCTCCCCCTCCCCCCATAGCACAAGGAGGATTCACTTGAGTTCACATTTATATGTGTATTTTGGGTGTGTCCCATCAACCCCCACCCACCACACATTTGCACATGTTCACATAATTTATGTATATTTTGTATGTCTCCCCCCCCCCCAAAGGACAACGAGGTAAAGCTGCTGACAGAGATCTCTCACATCAACGAGATCATGGACAGCTTATGCATGCAGGCCAGTGAGCCCTCTGTGCTGCCAGCCTCCAGCGAGCAGGTCATTGTAGACCTCAAGGGCGTGGACAACTCTGCTTGGAACTTCAACCAGGTAGGATATTGGATTTTTTTCCCTTCTGCACTTATATTTTTACAAACTTCTCATCCCTTGGGTTTGGTTTTGGGACACTCCCCTTGCACTGGGTTTCGTACTTCAAGGTTTTCAGGTCACAGAGGGAGGAAGGCTTTTTGACTTTTTTTGGCTCCGTTTGGTTCAACAACTGGTAATTGTAAACCTTTATATTATTGTTTTTTCATACACAGTGTACACATAAGGCATTTGTCATATCTATTTGTTTATATATGTAACAATGTAATTTGATTGAGTACTCAAAAGAATAAATGCTAGCATCTGGGTTTTTTTGAGGTGATATTTGTACTAGTGCCCTGAAGCAATGCAATGATAATAACAATAAAATTACTTTTATAATATTGATTTCTCTTTAGAATGAGTCAGTTAGTCTCAGAGAAAAAAAATTTCATTGATTGAACATTGTTTTAGTTGACTTTTAGTGCTTAGAACTGATATGAAATTGATTTTTGTATATGATGCAAGGCAAAAGAAGTAACAATTCATGGTTATAACGATTTGCAGTTGAAAGCTCAATATAAGAATCTGCTTTTGTATTTCTGTTCCTTTTGCTGTTTCCCAGTACTCCATGATTGTTGTTGTTTGTTCATGCTCCTCTGCTTCTCAAGCTGACTTAATTTCTTAAAAAAAATCTCAAGTATTGAAGATTGGAATACGATTACTCTTGTTCTCAACTGAAGAATGCCTTATCCTAAAGTACAGAATAGAGGCACTTTACAAATGTGAATTTTTATAATTTCAAGTGGAGAGAAATGTATTTTTCTTGGAAATAACTTTGAATTTTTAAAAACTCCATGATAGGGAGTATAACTTTGCTCTGATTCAGAACAGAAAAAGTTAACTAATTGCTGACGAAGGTCTTTTGGTTTGGATCATAAGTTACTGTTGGTAAGTTTTGCACTGAAGTAACTGCATTAATGTTGGCCATTTATGGAATGTTTTGCTTCTGCCCTCCCCAACACCCACCTACTCACCTTTCTTATCCTCTTTCTGTCCCCATCTTACTCTTTTTATTTCTCTTCTTTTCAAAATTTTCATATTTCATCTCTCTGTCAACGAACCCTGTCTGAATCATTTCCTCTTCTTCTGCACAAACCTCACTGAACTTGGTGATGGGTCACCATATTCTCTCTGCAACTCCACTATCCTCAATACACTTTTTCATGCACATCGTGGCTTATTTCTCTCTCTTTGTTTCACCTCCTCTTTCCCCTCCTCCACCTCCTCTTCCTGCTTATTGTTCTTGTCTTCCTTATCCTTTCCTTCTTCTCCACCCCTTCTCCTTTTTCCTTCTCTATACTCCTCTTCCTCTGTTCCTTATCCTTTTTACTTCTTCTCCTCCTGCATTTTTCTTATCCTTCCTCTGTTCTTTCTTGTCCTGCTCCTCCATTCTCCTCCTCCACCTTCTCTTCCTCATCCATCTTCTCATCCTCCTCAAACCCATCTTCCACCCGGCCCCCTTCTCGCCCAACATCCCCAGCAGAACTCTCCTCCCAGCTCCCCGTCATCGCTGGGCTCTCGCAAGTCGAGTATGTGCAGCATCAACAGTATTAACAGCAGCTCCAGTGGCTCCTCCAAGTCACACTCGCCCAGCCACACCATGCACAAACGCACCACCTCACAGGTACGCACAAGCAAACACACACACAAGTCCCTTTGTGTGTCCTACCCCTCCTTTCATCCACAGGACTGACCAGTACGTTAGGAACCCTTGATCAATGTCTCTCACCCGTAGGTCTTCTCTTCGTGTTTCAAGTTTGTTTTTTCTCCTAGTGTTTCTGTATTATTCTTTGAGGAAATGAATTCCAAGGGGCCGTGTAGCTATCTATTGTGATAGTTGGTTGTTGAATGTTACATGAGCCAGGGCCTTCTAGTTTTAAGAAAAATCAACTGAAACACCATAAGCTTTGGTATTTGTACAACGAGTGAGAAAATTCATAGAAACTTGTGTCTACTAAGTAGTGTAATACTCATGGGAATTCTGGAAAGTGTTTTTAAATTCCACAGTTGAAATGGCATTAGGTCTTGTTCAATGTCGAAAAAAAAAAAGAATTGGGAGTCCTAGTCCATTTTGAGACAACCCTTTTTGAAGGATTAAAGAAGAAAAACCTTTTCCTTTCTATTTTTGGGGGGGGGGGCATTACTTAAATAACGCCCCCCCCCCTCAAAAAGAAGGGGGAGGGGTTGTCTGTATATTGTTTGTAAAAAAAAATGTCCTTGATTTTGATAGTTGTCCTGCTTAGGGTTCGCAGGCTACTATTCCTTTCAGTGACTCTTGTTCCTGCTGTAGAGGAAATTTGTATAGCTTGTTGTCCGTTTCTTTATACGGCCACTAAGCAGACGAAAGCTTGCACCATGTGCATTGCTAGTGAGCATGGGTGTTTGTTGAAAAATGAAAAGAACGAGTTGTGTGAATTCAATGCCTGTGTACTCTGCTGGAAAATCTGACTATTAGTGATAGTTGTCCCTTCGATGATCCGTGACAGTATTTTTTCATGAGATGTAAATGGAGAGACCACAATTTTTTTTCCTTGCACAAGAGATCCACATGGAAGAGTATTATCTTGAACAATCTTCAACCTTTTTACTATCATCTGATGCATGTCTTTGACCAGACCTTTGATGAGAATTATTCTGTTAAGTGCTAGTGCTTTCTTTGTGATAAAAATTTTGATATTCTCAGTCAAGATGTAAAGGCAGTGGTCTTATTTCTTTTTTTTTTTTACCAGCATATTGGGGAGTCCATTCCTGTAACAATTTGAGGTTCAGAGTAAATTAATTCCTCCATACCATAGATAAAGAAAATAAGTGAAAATTTTGATGTTTTTCTCATATGTTATGATAATATTGTTATTATAAGTAAAGAAATTCTATGGGTCTCAACAATATTTTGACCTCACTTTATGTGTACAATTATAAATATAGTCATCCTTTGCCAGACCAGAACAGAGGCATTGAGTTAACATGACACAGTTTTTCTTTTTAAATTCAGAGATCATGTCATCTTCATGTCATCTTCATGTCATCTTCATCAATGTCCTTTTTCTTATATTGCCTCTTGAGCTGAAGTTTGGCGTTGTACGTTCGTACTTATTCAACTAGTTGGGTCTGCACAGTGAGGTCTTTCAGATTGGAAAATAGACTGGGGTTTCAGGTTGGGCCATATGCACATTTCAAGCAAAAAATCATCAAATATTGACAATCTCCTGTATTTCTATGTGTCATCTAGCTGGTGGACTTGATTAGTCTAGTACCAATGAATGGTGGCCTCTGTCAACACAAAGGCAAGCAAAGTTAAATATATTTGACAGTTTGTCATTGAAGGGAACAAGATTCCAATTTCGTTTTTATTATTATAAATTATTATTCTAGGCCAAAATAACTGTCCCCAAAGTTGACATGCTGTCTCAGAGTGGGTGGACCGCTTGGCATGTTTGTGTTGGGGGTCCGTGCAGCATGCCAGCCTGTGTCTTGCTCTTTTTGATATGAGGACTGTCAAACTATTTTCACTTTTGTTGCTGTCACAAGTCTCTTGTGTACGAATACTCCGTGGTTTGGGATTTTTAGAAACTTTTGGGTCAGTTCAGGATGTCTTTGTTTTATTTTTTTTTAAATTGAGGAGATATCTTCTCTCTTCTTGTGGGATGTGTCTATGGAAGTCTGGGTTGACTGTGACTAGTTGAATCGAAGAAGCTCCCCTCTTATGTAATTTATGTTTTGTTGAAGGAGGCTTAAAATGATTGCAACAAAATTGGGGGTCTGTGTAGAAGAGAAAAGATTGTGTACTTTCCGCACTATTGCTTCAGGTTCAGCTTTTTGCTTTGAGGGAATAGTGGACTTCTTCTAATAATCATAGCATGTTGTTATTGTTGTTGTTGTTGTTGTTGTCGTTGTTGTCTTTGTCTTTGTTTATCTAGCAGTGTTTCCTTTCATACTTTTTGGACCAGTGTATTTATCACAGTATAGGTTAGATAGTCTGCACATAGTAAAAGTAAATGTACCATTCAGGCCTAAGTATTGTATTTTTATCTTTCATATTCCTTGGTGGTTCTTTCTCTGTGAGATTTTCAATGTTTGAATGAGCAAGCATGAAGCTATGGACGTGAGTGTGTCATGTTCTGTCACTCACTGTACCGTCTCCCTGTCTTGTGAGCTCCACAAGCTGTATGGTGTACTCTTCTTTCTTGGAATTGCTCAACTTTATGTTGTTGCTACAAATAACTTGTGTACAGCTTTTTTCGTATTTATTCAGATCAGTTCATTCTCTTTTTCTGTTGAAACTTTATTGTACACAACTAATAATATTTACTTTCTGTAATGATTATGATTTTGTTTATGATTGGATTCATTTTATTTTGATCATAGTTCATTGTGTTTTATCTGTTGAGTGAAGGCAATGAATATGGACACAGATAGTTTCCCCCAATTGTATGCTATTTGACTCAATGCCTATCTATTCTTATTTTTATTGTATCTTTTATCAGTTGTAATGGGATTTGGGACTTTCCTTTATGAGATTATTGTTCTTTTTAAAATGAAATTTCTCTATCCTTTACTCTGAATAATCCATCGTACATAACTATGGAGCAGCTGTTAAAAGTTTCTTTTAATTTCAGGGAAAAATGATCACATAATGATTTTATTACTATTATATTTTACATGCGTAATATCATTTTTGCCACAAGTGTTTATTTCCAAACTGTTTATATGAAATGCTTTCCAATTAAATTACGATAACCAAAAAATGCAAATGTGTTTGAGGATTGTAGATGAGAGTGCATTCCCTTATGGATCATTAACAAACCCCCAAAAAATCCTTGGTTGGTTGCTTGATTTATGTATACAGTAAGTAGGCATTGAGTCAATACATGCACTGTTGTGTGTCTCCAGAAGTATTTGCTGATCTGGTTACTCCTTAAAGTGCAGAAATATCTCGTTAAACTCTTGCTTCGCAGACTCTCAGGTCATTACATGAAGTATAACTGAGGTTCGCTCATAACAATTATACATATTATTAACAACATTAACAGAAATTTTGAAGTATCTTTCCTAGCAAATGTAATGCTGCCAAGTAGTCCCATTTCATTGTCTATATCTATTGCATTCTTTCATTGGTGTCCATCAATTTAATTATTTCTTACGTTTCACATTATCTTTTCCCGTCCCTCCCCATCTTTGTTCTTTATCTCTCAAACCCCTGCCTTCTTACTTTTTACAAAATGAACATACAACTGTGTCACCCCCTCTCTAATTACATTTACCTCCACACATTCGCACACTCATACACTTCCTTATGCTCATGTGCATTCAAACACTTGACACATACACTCATCCATTAATATACACTCACAAATGCAAATGTGCGAACTCTCTCACACACATCGGAATGTATGGACCCACACTCTTGCATACACACTACCCCACATTTTCTCACTTTTATTGGTACCTTCCTCACTGGCATCATCTCTTACACGTCAACCAATCACATCAATGCCACTCCCTACCTCCCCCTCTTGTTCCCCTCCTTCACCCCACTTTTTTTATCCTATTCACATCTGGTCACACCCATCTTATGCCCTGCCCAACTCTGCACTTTCCACATTGACCACTCCCTTCCACTGTCCCTCTTTCCATCACTCCCTCCCTCCCACACCTCCTTCCCTTCCATCGTCAAGCAGCCTCTGGTGGGTGCCATCCGCTTGACCAGCGTCAGTTCCCAGGACTCGGGGTTCACGTCCCAAGACACCCTGTTTCTACGCCCTAACACTCCACAGTCCCTCAGCCTCTACCAGGTACGCCATTGACGCTGGTCCCACGCAGGCCTGCCTCTCTCACTTGAGATCTGGACCGTACAGATCCTTGTTTTGTAATCAGTAATAGCAACAAAGTCTTTGTCGTTATTTTTTATTTGTACTACTTTCAATTTTAAAAGACCCCTAAATTTACTCCTAAAGTCGCAAGATATTGCTATTTTTGGTAATGTGAGAGATGCTTATTGGCCCATTTTATTTTGAAGCAGAAAAAAGCTTTAGGTATTGTAATTGTCAGACTCAAAGCAAAAGCGTCAAATTTAACGACATTATTTTTGTTAGTAGAAATTTATTGTTGTCCTTGAAGTTGAATTGTTGTGAAAAGCTTTCTCTTTCTTTCATGAGAAAATACCTGTTTTAATGCGGTTAGAGATAACTGTAATGCTCAAACTCCTTTCCCAATGTGAATTGAGTAAGTGAGTGTTGTGTTACCCTCGCCTATCTCGATGCTAGTGAATGGAGAGGAAAGTAAGGCATTGGAGCAAAAGTGGACATTATTGTCTACTGGAGCCGCATATTGATAAACGTCACTGCATTACTTTTGACCTGGCCTTCCACCCTCCCATCAGCTTATGTACTGCTCTGCTTGCATGCATTGCTCTGCCGCTCTTTCCCCTGTTCCCCATCAACTCCTTGTACCTTTGCTTTATCGGAAAGCTTTCTTTGTTATTGGTGTACTTCAGATTCAGTTGACTCTTTAGTTTTTACTCACAATATTTTGTCAGATTCACGTTTGGTTGAGATTTTGAGGGGAGAAATTGTGTTGTATTTCCCATGCTTGCGTTCATGATGGGTTTCATCACAGAATTTTCGTTATTGCCATCAACCTTTCACTCTGTTCATAGGTCATTTTGAAGGCAGGTCACTTTCTACCTGTCTGTACTTTGGGCTGAGAGGAAATGTTTTTAGGAAGATGAGAAAATATTTAGTACTAGACTCTGGATTTGTACCTACCTATAACCTCACAGGGCTAATCATAGTGTGTCTACTACTCCACAGTGGGCAGGTTTGAGAGTAACAAAGTCATCAAGTCGTCTTCACTCACTAGCACAAACTGTCTGACTATCCTTATCATTCTTCCCGCTTCTACCTGTATTTAGTTGAGCTCGTTTCCAGACAGACTTTATGTATTAGTGTTAATTAGGTATTATTTTCTGAAGCTCAGTCAAGCTGCTTAAACGAATGGCTTTGCTTGCAGTATCGAATCTTGTTGATTTGGCTTGTAGCATGCTGATCTAAAGTTTGCCTGGAACTTTTGATGTGATGTCTAGCATGGTCACTTTGCCCAAGTTGGGAAGAGAGGAATAAAACAGGAAAATCGAGGCATGTCGAAGCATGCTCACTCTGCCCAAATTAGGAAAGGGGTGCAAGACAAGAAAATGTGGGTATTTGAAGTGTCCTTTGCACAAAGTACTTTTGAAAAACATTCTTATAGCGGACAAAGTTTGCAAATGATGTCCTTTGGCTTGGTGTTAATATAAAAGCATGGTTATTTTCTCTCACTGAGACTGGCATCCATGTAGCGTGCCTCCCTATGCATCTGGTGGTAATGTGGTTCCCTCTACAACACATACTGGACGTTTGCCCTGTCTCTATTTCTCTCCCTTTCCCTCTCTATCTTTCTGTCTCTCTCTCTTTCGTGCCTCTTTCTATCACCTTCACATAAACAAAAACACATACACATTAGAAACCTGAATTTTGGGAAACCAAAACAGCCTGATGACACAAGCGACAGGCATGATTCTTGATTGTGAGGTCTCATTTGGTACTTGGAAAATTTTTAATGGGGGAAATGTCTCGTTTGTAAACTATCTGGTTTTGATTATAATTATCAACAAACAGCTGTTAATAAAAAAATGTTTTCTTTTGTTCTTTACAACTTAAATGAAAAGACGCTTGAAAATAGTACAGAATAGCATTTTATCTTTTAATTTTTTTTCCTGTGTGAAAGAAACCCCAGAATTTTCTAATACCACATAAAACATTGAACTTGACATTATCTAGGAAAGAAAATAGATCCTGGGTGCCATTGTGCTCAATCTGATAGTCCTTCTTGCAGCCTTGGGGGCCAGTGGTCTCACACGACCCTACATAACTTTTTATGCCTTTAAATCATATCTCAAAACTACACACAGAACATTGTGGAATGTTCAGTTGGCCTTACGTCGAGTTCATTTTCGAACAGTTGTCTTATTAACTTTAAAATTACGAATATGTGTGCTGAATGCAGAATATATAAGACATGGTGTTTAATTTTTGTTTGGAGCATACAACTCAGTTAGCTGTTGAGATAGTTGTACTTGTGGGCTCCTTGTTCAGACATTTGTAATGGAATGGCTTGGCTATTTCCCTAGCATTCAAAAGACCTGAGGTCGATTTTCTCAACAAAGGGTATTTTAAAGCCTCTCTGTATTCCTACGATGTCCCTCAAAACTTGGTTTGGTATGAAGAGAAAGAGTCAATGTAGCTTGCCTCCTAAGGAAATTGACTGTGTCGATAGGGTGTATAACATTTTCTACGGTTATAATTACGAGTTCTGATTTTGAAAAAGGTGTCGTGATAGATTCAGCTGAATGCTGCATGTTTTTGAAGCGTTTTTAGGTATTATTCATTGGTAAATCTGAGGTAGTTTGACTTTGATGTCATGTTCATGAGAAACAAGGGGGGTTTATCCCAGAACATTTTCTTAACTTTCCGTATAGCAGAGATGAGTGAGCTGTCTGTACTGTTTCTTTCCATTGATCTTCTATTAGCTCATTTTTATAGAGGAACTGATTTCATTTTTAGGGACATTTACAGTGTTTCAGTGGTATTTTTATGTTTTTAGAGATAGCTTTTAAAAAATAGTTTCTTTTTTATAACCTAGTTCTGAGATAAGGGTAAGTCTCTGTCTTGGGTAGATCATTCAATTTATTGTACTTTTTTTCATGACCAATACCCTGGCGTGTTCACCTTTAATTTTTTTTGGGTAGAAGTAGAGCATTTCATGCAGATCGTTTGGGCTTATATTACAAGTGCTGATTCCTTCAGCTGATGCTAAATATATCATTAGAGAGAGAGGGAGGGAGGGAGAGAGAGAGAGAGAGAGAGAGAGAGAGAGAGAGAGAGAGAGAGAGAGAGAGAGAGGGAGAGGGAGAGGGAGAGGGAGAGGGAGAGGGAGAGGGAGAGGGAGAGAGAGAGAGAGAGATTTGGGTACTTGGAAAAATATTGGAAAAGTCGTAGGAGGGAAAAATGTAGACTTTTGCTGTAGAAAGAACTTTAGATTAGTTTTCCTTAAATGGGAAATAGACCCCTGTAGTTTGTTGGTTGTAAGCGTCCAAATGGCCGGCATATGGTCTGGCTTGGCTTTGTTTTGATTTTTTAAAAATTCATCATCTCCAAATCTTGCCACCTTTCATTGACAGATACATAGTTTTTTTTTGGGTTAAAGTTATGTCCGAATTTTACTCAGGAAATGACAAGCTCATATCCCTTATTTACTACAGAGTAGAGTTCTTTACGATGACACCTGAGGTTGCATATTCTTTTATCTCATTCTGCATCCACTCCCAGACTTCTACTACCCAGGAGCGTGATGAGGGTGACTGCGACTCCACCCCAACCACTCCCTCGGACAACACGCCCAGTGCCAGTTCCACATGGAACAACTGGCCCAACCTGCCAGGAACCCCACGCACAGACCCAGCACGTCCACACACCATCAGCTCTGCCTATGAGAAAGGACACACCAGACCAGGTGAGATAGCTTTTGGGCTAAGATTATTGTATATGGGATGGGTCTTGCGAATCCTTTATTAGAGATGCAGAAAGAGAATTGTTGATGTAGTTCTATAAATGGGCAAATCCACAATTTTTAAGATATTGTTGTGTTATTCACGTTCTCTACCAGTTTATGACTTGTCAAGATGGCAATCCAATTATACCTACAGTCCTGCTGTACCATCAGTTCTGTTGTACCGCCAACTTTATGCTTGTCTCGAAGTAAGCGGTATAACAAGGTTTTACTGTAGATATGTTCAAAGTCTAACATAGTATTTTTGGTAAAGAAAAATTCTTTCAGGTGTACAGTATACAGTACTGGTTTTGCTAAAAGAAAGACAACCCTCTTGAAGTATCCCTACCTTTGAATTGTCAGCATTAATCCCATTCTTAGAAGGTTTGTGGCCACTCATGTGTAAAGTGTATCTTCTCCGCCGTCTTTTTTCATGGCCGTTATCCCTAACTTTGTGTTTACTGTCATTTCGACTGGCAGCGACCATTTACTTAACTCTATTCATCTATTCTTCTCAGCCTTGAAGCCAGACATGTTTGAGCCGCCCCAGGAAGGTGTAGAGATGCGACCCAAGACCCTGCGGTCCCAGAGCCAGACCAGCAGCGGAGGTCGCCCCTCGGCCACCATCAGCAAGCTGCAGCCTGTGCTGCCCCCACACTGCCCTAAGCCCAAGGTCAAGGCTGTGGCTCCTCCCATGTTACCCCCAGGTATGGTTCATACTAGAACAAGATTGTGGTACGTGAAGCTCTGAATCTGTTTTGAATAAGTTGTGCTGGAAAGGAAGGATGGAGGAGATCAAGGAATAACTGGGAGAAAGAGGATGAAGTGGACAAAGGGAGGAGGAGGAAAAGGTGCTCGAGGAAGCTGGAAAAGGTACAGAGAGATGGTTTGGAGAAGGGAGGTGATGAAAAAGTTAAGAAGTGTAAGGGGGCTTGGCCCGCTGAGAAAGGGTCATGCTGCCTTTTTTGTGTTTAGAGATTTGACCAATGATTCCTGATGTCCTCTCCCAGGTGCCCAGCCCATCTATGCCAACATGGCGGAGCTGTCGGGCAAGAATGGCCAGTCGTCTGACCCGTCCTCCCCTGATGATGGTGAACCGACCACGCCCACCACACCGGCCAGCGTGTCCATCACTCAGGTAAATCGACCGTGAACTGGAAAATATGCTTTTATTTAGAAGGAGTGACCTTGTTCTTCTATGTGGCTCTCTCTCTAATGCCATTTGTTTTTGTTTTTATTTAGAACTTTTGATTTCCTCGTCAACTGTTTCTATGTCTTTCTTTTTTCATAAAACGCTGTCTGTGTTTTGTCCAGTTTGTCATTTTGTGGCAAGAGAAAGACTGCAGTGATATTAATAAATCCGCTCTTTTTAGTAACTTTCCCCCCCCATCCACACACACTCACTCACACACACACACACACACACACACACACACACACACACACACACACACACACACACCCTCAATTCCATGCATATACCGTATCTTACTTGCTTTCTTATTTGTTTGTTGTTTGTTTTTCATATGATCTCTGTAGAACTATGTCTTCTGAGAAATGAATGATGGGTGTTATCATCTGTTCTTGTGCCAGTTACCTTCAGCAAGTTTTCCAACTTCCAGTCCCTCAAAATGTCATGTAATTCATGTTTCATTTCAAAGCTTTGCTTCATGTTTGGGATATTGCTGTCAGGATGTATCGTTGTCTAACATTGTGCAATAAAAACATTTTCTTGTGCATTATTCAGCTGCTTGAAAGATGTCTTTTGTGTTTCTCTTGGATATGTTTAACAGCATCTGCAAAGTGTGTGTGGTTTTTTTGTTTTAATGTGATATACCCACTCCTATTTTTTTTTTTTTTTCAAACATTATTTTTGCTTCAGACTTCACATAAATTGGAACATCCATGTCTTCAGGCACATTCTGTAACCATTTGCCATCTCTTCAGAACACTTGGCTAGGTTGTAGGGGCCATCAGTAGACTTGCTTGGTGTGCGAGGCACTTTCAAACAGAACATTTTAAGCGCTTTTTTGTTTTGTTGTTTTAGGAAAAGTGGAAACGGAAAGGGCAGTTTCTGATGAGAATGTTAGGAGCATGAAGGGAGGAGATTGGGAGAAGAAGGAGAGACAAATGTTGTAAGCCAATCTAAAGTGAATCAGTTGAAAATTTGGATTTTCGGCTACCCATGAGGTAGTTCTATTTGTCTACATCCTTTTATAGTTGTGTAGTTGTGGAGATTTTTTTTCTTCTCATGGAGGGTGCTACTGGTAGGTTCTATTTCTCTTCTCTTCCTCTATTGTTTCTCTGTCTGTCTATCCTACTTTTTTCCTTGAACGGAATGGCTGTAATGTTGATGTGCTTCTCTTTACTCAAACAAACAGAAAATACTTTTTGTGCATTTGTTTTGTTTTGAATAGCATCACATGAGTATTAAAGCTTTTATATAGTAGTCTCTGCATAAGATCCCACCTCTTATGATCCCAATTTGCTTAGGATCTGACTGTTTTAAGAAAAGAAAACATTTTTATTACACAAAAGTCACCCCTTAGATCCTGATCTGATAGACTAATGTTTCAGTTTCAGATCATAATTTACAGAACAAAAACCTGGGCAAGAATAGTTGATCAACCAATCATTGAAAAATTTTTATCGTTGAACTGCCTGTTTATCTTAGATCATCATCTACTGTTGTGAATGCTATCACATCTCTGTTGTAAATCTTGATGAATTGGTATGGTGTTTGCCTCAGATGGGATTACATTCAGGTGTGAACTCATTGACTCGTTTGGATTCCCCGAACATCACGCTTGTATATTAGCCTATCGTCTTGGCTTGCTACATCATGCATTGGATGGGTAGGGCTTAGGGCCTACAAAGCCGCGTCAGACGGGATCATAGCGAACTGAATTGGTCAGCTTTTGTTTCCCTGGCCATCGCAGTTGTCCTTCATCTCTTTGCCATACTTTTCTAGACAGGCTGGATTTTAATTGGTGTGGCCACAACACAATGGTACATTACGGCAAGAGTGGGAAACTTGGTCAGAGATGAAAGCTTTGAATGTTTGAGAAGTTATGATGAAGAGCAATGCATTCAAAGTAGATCCTGAGACTCGTGATTGGATAAGGGAAAGTAGCATGCCTCATGCCATTGTAATTGGTCATCACAGTTTACCTTTCTTTGCTTGCCATAAGTGATAAACCCACCCAGGGGTCACGACAGTTTGTCTCAGAGTAAGGGGAGATAATTTTATTGGTTGTAGGCCTGAATATGAGTCACTGTGGATTCTTCTAATGAATTGACAAAGATCCGGCTTGCTTAAGATCCTGTATTTTCTTTACTCTCAAGCTCTAGGATCTTAGGCAGAGACTACTGTACATTTATTATTTTTTTTCTTCAAATTTTTAACCATATCCTACTGCTTTCAGTTTGGGTTGCTATGCGAGTTTTTTGTGTGCATCATCCATCTTTGCCTCTAACTACCATCAGTTTTTCTTTCTCAGCCCTGTCTAATTTTCTTCTTCCACACCATCTTCTTCAGTGCCTGGTGTGAGTTTCATATGCTTGCCACAGGCTCAAGGGTAGTTTTTTTTTTCAGCTCGACACCCATGTTCTCTCGGTGTGTGTTGTATTCTTCATGTTCTGTTCTGCTTGGTCTGGACTCTTATCGCTCTGTGTCTCTCTCCTGACTCTTTGCTGTGCAAGCAGGGGGAACAACTGCTCAAGTCACCAAAGGGCATGATGGATCTCCAAACGGCCATCGAGCAGATGGACCTGTGCACGGCGTCGCTCAATGTGGAGGATGAGCCTATCGCCTCAGACACTAGTGAGGAGGTGACTCCTCGCTCCAGCTTGGATGACCCTCAGGTCGGAGGTCACGCTGAGGCGGGCGAAGTATCTGCGGACGATTTGGTGCTGGTCACCAAGCCCAAGGCAAGACAGCGCTGATACTACCACCACCACCACCTCTACCACTACCACTACCACTACCATCACCACCTTCACTACCAATGTCCACTACCATCAGTGCACTCTCTCCCACTCCTAGTACCATTTCCTATCAGTAAAGGTTAACACAAAGCAGAAATGACTGAGGATGAAAGACACCAGAGAGGCATCGGAACATACTGATTGCATTCACCCTGATAACCACAACAATAATGTCTGGCTTATCAGCAGTTCCTTCCCATTCTTGCATTGACCTGTCCTAGCTGGCATGCAATAAACACCACAAAGCAGATGCTTGGGTTTTATTTAATTTGCTAACGTTTTCTTATCTTTCCTTTCCTTTCCTTTCTTGTGCATGGTTTGCTAATTGCGTATTAACCTCACAGCGCTTGCCACTTCCCATTTGCTATGACTTTTGCTTACCCTTTTATGCTGATCACTGCTAAAATGCACTTTACTTGTGGGGGATTGGGGGTCCTTATGCACAGCTAACGGCAACAATAATGGTATTGACAGTAGTAATAATAATTTTAAAAATTTGTTCAAGACTTGTCAGTACTTCATTAGCTACCGAAAAGGAACAAAATGCTTACCCCCTGTCTCCCAACAAATCAGTCTGTCTGTATTTCTCTCTCTCTCCCTCTCCTTCTCTCTGTCTGTCTGTCTGTCTGTCTGTCTGTCTGTCTGTCTGTCTGTCTGTCTGTCTGTCTGTCTGTCTCTCTCTCTCTCTCTCTCTCTCTCTCTCTCTCTCTCTCTCTCTCTCTCTCTCTCTCTCTCTCTCTCTCTCTCTCCCTCCCTCCCTCCCTCCCTCCCCCAAATGGCAAGCATTCTCCCACTGTCTAGGTTATAAACTCAAAATAAAACAAAACTTGCCCTTACATGTAACTGAGATGGCAACCCATGCTACAAGTGAAGTAATGAATGACCTGAGATTAGGAGGTTTGGGAATTTCGTTGAATTTTGACAGCAAGCATCATAGATATTGTTAAGTGCTCTGGGCGTCCCCATTTGTATGTGCCCGCTGTTGGCTCAGATAAATACGTACCCTGTCACTTGGCAGGCTGGGGCCCCAACTTTCTGTGTATTAAATGTAGGTCTGCTGTTCATGTGACGAGTTCCTTTTAGATATGCTTAAGTGTTCTGGTCCACGCGGAAGAAGCGAAGCGAGGGTCCTTTGCAGAAATATTCTAGAGATTACCATTTTGATGTCATGGTACATTAGGTGTTTATACTTTAGATCACAGGTTCCAATGTGCATTCTTGCATGTGTTCAAGTGGTGCTGTGGGGTTGAATTCCTTCGTTCTAACTGAAAATATTTGTATAACTTAAATGTTCTTGCAATATTCTGTGCATGATGATACCTTGCTGCATGCTTGATAATGTTATTAGCTAGACATGATTTCCGAACTAAATCTATCTTCAAGGGAAAAATTTCTAGCTATTTTATGCTAAAGCTTTGTCTACCTGCTCTAATTTTCTTACATGAAGCTGCAGCGAGCGCCTAGCACACCTCTGTGATTGGCCCAAATATAGATGATATATTACCACCATCTTTTTTTGTTGTCTTCCGGCTTTCCTCGACAGTTGGTGCAATGGGCTATGTCACTAGGTTTCGTCGCCAACTGCGTGGGCTGTGTGTGTGTGTGTGTGTGTGTGTGTGTGTGTGTGTGTGTGTGTGTGCGTGTGCGTGTGTGTGTGTGTGTGTGTGTGCGTGTGCGTGTGCGCACGCGTGTGTGTACATGTGTGGGTGTGTGTGTGTGCGCACGCGTGTGTGTACATGTGTGGGTGTGTGTGTGTGCGCCCGTGCTTGTGTGTGTGTGTGTATGTGTGCGCCCGTGCTTGTGTGTGTGTGTGTGTGTGTGTGTGAGGAGAAGGTAAATTTATGGATTGAGAATTGCTGAGATTGTTTATAAAAGATAGCATAAATTAATACAAAAGAAAAGAAAACCCCAAACACGGCGACATCTAGTCAGTTACTGGCGAGGGAAACCCAAAAATCTAGGGGGAAACCCCGGAAGATTACAAAAATAGATGGCGGAAATACGCCTTTAGTATTTTGGCCAATCACAGAGGTGTCCTAGGTGCTTGCTGCAGCTTCATGTAATTTTCTTGCATGATTGGATGATTTACAAACTTGTAGTCTGTTTCCTGCCAACTAATTCCAAGCTAGCAATTGTAGCATCAGAAAAGCTTTGTTCACATCATGTGGAAAGCTTTTTTCTGCCTGTTTGTCATAATTGAATGTTGGGTAAAAAGACTGACATTTAAATGGCATGAAAAAAAAAATGATTTCATATGATATACTTATGTTTTCAGTTTACGAGAATCAAATTGTTTTAGTTTTATGTCTAAAGGAAGAGGTTTTGTAACTATTATCTATGAAAAAAGGTGATAAAGTTAAGTTTTGTTTTGTTGTGGAAATTCCATTGCTGTTGCTCTTGGCTTCTCCCTCTTGGCTTTCCCAAAATGGCTTAATTCACCTCTCTGTTCAGTTTGGGCAATCAGATTTGCCATTTGGCGTTTATGTGGAGTGGGTAGATGTAAGGAAAAGGCACATATTCTGAGCTAGCTAGACTCCTCTATCATTACTTTCCTTACATCAGTTTGTTCATTGAGCCAAGGGGAAATTACTGGGTACAAAAATACAATTCTAAGGTGGATGCCATGACTTGCCCTGATTATCAGTTTTGGCGGCACATCCCCCCCCCCCCCAACCGCCCCAAGTTGTAAAGAAAGAATTAACATTTTGTCCGTCTTTTATTATTATTTTGTCTTAGATTACTTGGATTGTTTGGTTTATATTTGCTGCATTTCCTGCTTTGTGGCAATGTTGTCAAAGCAAATCAGTGGTGTCTGTCAAGTAAAATATAGCCTATGAGTTTCTGTTCCTAAAGAAGAGAAAGTTTATTAGTATTCATGCTTCTTGTTAACCAAGTCATCAAATTGTTATTTGTCCTAATCAAGAAAAAGATACTTATTATACTTATTCACTTTTCAGCCTCACAGTATTAATTTATGCTTGTTTTTTTGTTATTTCACTTCCTTGAAAATGTACCCAAAAGTTCTTTTTAATATTTCAAATTGTAAACTTCTGTTTACAGCTCCAGTATTTATTTTGTCTAGGCAGAACTTTTAATTCAGTACACTTTCTAGGAGTAAAGGAGTGGAATGAAATCTCGTGGGAAACAAAGAAATAGGAAGGAACTCTTCATGTATTCTTTTGATATCGATATCAGTATCTTTGTAAAACTAAAAATATAAACTGTTTCCATGCTTCCAAAGGTGTTTTGGCTCCATCCAATCTGGGATTGTCATGTTTCCTTTTTTTCAACTCTTATTTTGGGGCATTTACTTTTCCTTGCATGTTTGGTTTTTGTTCAATGACCAAGTAGCAGTTACAGTACATTTTGGATGTTCATAGTAGTTTGATCTCAGGTTTAAAAAAATATTTTGTGACTTTTTTTTGAATGGCCTGAATGAGATACTGTAGTATGGCATACCTTATATCATCGCGAATAGGACTCAACTATTTACACAAAAATCTGGGCTTCAAAGTTACCCTGCATCTTTCCCATGAGACAGCAATATTAGACAACAACACCCCCCCTCCCCCCCCTTCCCCCAAAAAATGAAAGGGGGCTGACAAAGGGAACAAGCTCTGCGGGTCAGGTAATCATTGTTGATTTACATAAAGCGTTTGCACTTTTGACAGGCCATTCCACAGTAGATTGTACAGGCAACGAAACAGTAAATGTAAAGACTATAGGCCATAGGAAACTTTTCAGTGTTCTTGCATGTTAAGCCGATGGAACAAACCTATGCTTTTTGCAATGAAAACAAATTGGTGCATCTTATAATGGACTTATAATTTATACAAAAATTTTGGCATCAACACTTGTTCAGATATGCAGCCTATTTGCGATGATCATGATATACAGTATTTAGTTACAACTAACTCTATGATTTTGCAACATGTCTGTTTTTGTGTGGTTGATTGTGAACGTGTTTGTGTGCTTACGAAATGAATGTGTTGCTGACAGTGATTTACATTCTAAGAAATAGTTGTGTCTTTTAAAGTACTGTCTGTGTCTTCTGTTTTTGAGATGTTCACATCAGTCTTGTCTGTCTTTTTTGGTCCACACAAAACATGTTATTGTTCTCATGGTTTTCCTTAAAAAAATGTATTCAATGAGGTTGGTTCTTTTACTGATGACAATGAGTTCGTGCTGTTTCAGATCAGAATTTGTAATGATTTTAAAGTGAATAAGGGGTTGGGAGAGAAATCTTGTTCATTCTTAGTTTGTTTCATTGGCACTCTTTGAATTTTCTTTTCTTGGTATTTTCATTTTATGTATTGCAGAGAGTAAGTATTGAAGGCCCAATTGTTAGCAAAGAAAGTTGGTTCAGAGGATTAACGGAAATCTGAAAAATTTGTCCTTTTACAATCCGAAGGCTTATTCTTGCTCCTTATTCCCATTCCTTGCCCCTCTCCTTTTCTGTTGTGATGGTTTAGGTGATGGTTGATACCCCCCCCTTTTTTTTTTCTCGAGCTTGACCTACTGCTTCTCTTTCCCCATTTGTTTAAGATTGTTTCCTTGTTCCAGCTGTACACAAGATCCGGTAGAATGTTCAAGAGTGTTTAAGCAGCTCTCACTTTTCAAAAATATTTTAATTTTAATTTGATGGATACGTCTAGGTTTTGATGAAATCTGACAAAGATAGATATGTTGATAGCTTTTGTTTGTTTATTGTTCAAGATGCATGTGAGATGAGTGCTCAATTTACAGACACAGAAATGCCTCTATTACTGTATTGATTCTGTTTCTGTGGTATGTCAGCAACTTTTGGAGAACTGTAGGTTTTTCAAATATAGTATTTTTGACTGCTCCCTTAGTAGACTATTCAGAAACCGATTACGGTGTGTGCAGTGCATAGAACATCTGATTAGATAGTTTATATTCTTTCTTTTGGTTGTTGTGTTGTGACCAGTTAGTTTGACCCCTTCTAATAAGAGCCCAACAGTTTTTTACATTACTGTACAATCAATATACTCGATCATATTACTATATAAGAGAGAACAAAGTTAATGGGTTAAAAAAACAATGTAGGTTATTTTTCCCCACAAATACAGTTGAACCTGCCATGACGGCCAGCTGTGTAATACGGCTACCTGTACGACTGGCCACTTTCCACACCCCCCCCTGCGTTTTTTTCAATATAATTTCATTGTGTTAGATGGTCACATGTCCAACATGGTCGCGGCAATCATACTTTATCAACCGACAACCAAAAGTACCTGTCTAAGAAGGCCAGACAAATCTCTCATCTCCTGACCCTTTGTCACAAATTATGAAATTGACCCCTGATGCTGTGGTTGAGCCATCGTAATCCATTCACCTGTCATTTTTATTAGTCCCTCCAATGAATGTTACTTAGGTAGCTTTCAATCTTTTCTGAAGTTGACCAATTGGTAACAATAAATGTTCAGCTGCTGGTGAGGGAAGCCTGTGATCTGTCATAACCTATAAGCCCCGCCCACAACTCGGACACAAATCATAAGTGAGATGAGCAGTCTTTGTTTACCCAGTTCATAACAATGGACACGTCAACAAAAACTCGTGACACAGAAGTGTCGCTTGTTCATTGAGTGGTGACGAACCACTTGTTTGTTTTATTACGACACTCAGTCTTTCTTGTTTGACTGACACATTTCGTTTTTGTATTAACCTTGCCCAAAACTAAGATTTAAAAAAAACGAAAAAAAAACTTAATAATGAAAAATCCCACTAAAACCTCCCCCACCCCCTTCAAAGGGAGACAAAAAATTAACTAGCCTTACTACAGCAAGTTATACAACCACTTTTCTTCTCCAAAATGCGGGGCCGTCTTACACAGGTTCAACTGTTGTTATTATGTATTATGTTTGGAGCTGAAAAACAGCTGTTTAAGAATCTATAAATTTTTTCTTGTGGTTCCATAGTACAGCGCAAGCTGAAACCACTTTTGATTCATAAATAGTTTTTCCCTAATGCAAACATGCTTAAATCATTTTACTAATGGGACAGGTGTACAGGTTTTAAAAGTTATGAGTGTAATTTCTATTGGTCAATCCCAGACCTCAAAATTTGTGGGCGATTCCGTGGTTCTGTAATAAAAAATCTGTGTAAGCTTGTTGCATGAGAAGATATTGGAAGTTGAGAAAGTTGATGTTGGTTTCTTTGAAAATTTGGTAAAGTTGTTGGAAGCACCTACTACAGAGAGTGAATAAGAGAGAGAGTATTTTTTTCGGTCTCAGGTTGAGATTACTTCAATTGATGAACACACACATTCCATTTGAGAGACCAATAACCAATGAGTGCTAACTTGACACCTTCTATGTCTCCCACAGATACAGCAGAACACAAGTCTTGAACTGGCCAAAGCCATCCGAGAGCTGGAAGCAAGCACTGCGGCCTTGACCTCAGCCTATGACACGGACAACTACGCCACAACCACTGGGCAGACAGCAGCAGCGGCCAACAGCACAGGGCCCGTCTGCGACACAGACAGCTACACCAGCAAGAGTTCTCTCCCTTGCTCCTCAGGCTATGGCACAATGGCCAGCACGCCGGCAGGCTCAGAGGACACCATCGCCTCGGGAGGTGGGTACCTGTTGTTACTTGTTGCGTTGTAAGTCTGTCATTGTCAGTTAAGTGGGTAGTACTCTGGTGGGGTTTGCTTCTTAAGTGGGTAGTACTCTGGTGGGGTTTGCTTCTTCTTTCTTATCACCTTATCTCAAATGTCTATCTTCTTTATCTCCCCTCCTTCTTTTTTGTGTTTGTTACTCTCTTGTAACACCTCTAATCTTTTGCACTTATATGACCTTATTGTGCTGCAAATGCCGTAAAAGACTTACTGAAACTAAAACAAAAAAATGTCAGTTTGAGCCTGTTCTGTCCTAAGAGACCCCTTGGAAGAACAGGCAGGGTCACACTGAAATGTGATGTAAATTCTAGTTATTTTAGGATATGCTTTTTTTAAAAGAATTCTTTTCTGTCTCACTTCCTGTGGAGTTGTAGAGGAAGGTGTCGGAGTTTGTGTTGAAAACCATGCAAAGCATTTTGTCATTTACCCTTCCATTCGTCTTTTTGAATTTGAAAATGTGTTAATATGGATTTTATTGGTCTATAAAACCAATACTTTCATCGGATGAGAAGAGATAATTATTATCTAATTTCAATATATATACTAATTTAGGCAAAACCAGCCAAGCCGATCTTTCAAAAATCAAGTTATTTAGACATGTGCACACAAAAAGCTCCAATAGGTCTGTGTGGAATGCGACCCTGAGCTACATTTATAAGATCTTGTCCATCGATTTTGGTCCTTTTACAGTCATTATATAATTTAGGTTTGGCTAGTTATTATATTATGCGGTGGTGTCTATTTAGCTGTGTGTTGTCTGAAGGATCTCCATGCATCTGCAGAATGACTGCTAGAATGTCGTTGTTCTCACAAGCTTCCTTATCCTAGCCCTGGCTGCTTGGACACTCTAGGGTTTAATGCCTCTACTAACTCTCCCCACACACGTTCCCCTGGGCTGAGGAGAAAACTCTCCTTCATGATTGCAGTTGCTTGACCTCCTTGTCATTGTCAGTACTCTTATTTTGATATTCAACGCCTATAAAGATAAGAGGTCTGGACGTGACAATGATGCTATGAATTTTACACTAATGTGATGCTGTCAATTATAAGCATGGCTTTCTGTTTCTTTATTTATAAAGTAAGAGTAGATGAAACATACTCTTACAGATCTTCCTGCAGAAAAAATAATGGACAGTCTGCTATAACAAACTTTTGTAAGAAAAAGATATAAATTCATAGCATCATAGTGTACAAAGGCATGGGAATGTGTGGAATTCAGATTACTCAGGGATATATGAATTTGTCAGATTGCTGAAATGGTATCACTACTCCGTGATTCTTTTACGCTATGCCCTGATGGTATTTTCACTTTACTTCATCCTGTGATCTCAATGTTATCATTGTCACATGAATATTCACCGTCAGTGTCTTATGGTGTGGCCTCATTGTTGTGACCCTGTTTTCATGCTGTGTTCATCCTCACTTGTTTTCTTGATGTGTGACTCTTTTGGCCATTGTCATTGTTGATAGCACCCATTCCTCATCAAGTGAATGTTGTCCTCTCTCACAGCTTCACTCGTCTTTGTTGTGTGATGTTCACAAGTTGGGTTTCATATTTCTGTTAAACGTTTTAAGAAAAAAAAACAACCAACCCAAAAACTTTTGAGTTGGAAATATTGTTGATGCTGTGGTAAGAGCACATTGTTTAGTCTATACGTACTCATACCAAGCTTGGCGTTGGTTATGGTTATAAGTGCCCCTTTAATTGTTATTTCTAGATGTCCAAGATGCTTCATAGAATTTTACATTTAATAATGTTTCCACTGCTGGGGGGAATTGAATTGAATGGTTGGTTGGTGGGTGCTCTGATGTTGTTTACTCCTTCTTTCCTATCAAACATCTGTCATCCTCATTTCTTCTACTTCTTTTTTATATTTGTTACTCTCTTGTAACGTCTCTAAACTTTGACACTGACATGACCGTATTGTGTTGCAAGAGCAGTAAAAGTTTTGCTTAAACATGGGGATTTGATGACCATTTGATTTGCAATTCGGAAAGTTTTAGAAGTGATGCTGAGGACACATGCTAGCAGACATTCAGCATCCTTGTGTGGTACATAATGGAAGTTCAGAAAAGATGCATGGACGCAAGAAGGGTGCCATCAATAGTGATCAGTTGTCCTCGAAAGTAGTGTAAGTGGGTGGTTGGCAGGTGCTCTGGTGTGGTCTGCTCCCTCTCTCCTATCAAAGGTTTATTGTTCTTATCTCTCCTCCTCCTTTTTTGTTTTTGTTACTCTTCACTTCGCCACTTATACGACCTCATTGTGTTGCAAGCTCCGTAAAACGATTACTAAAACAAAGTAGTGAGGGTAAGAGATAACATAGGTGGACCTGTTGTCCACTGAAATTGTGTAGGCAGAGGAGCATGGGCACGACACAAGGAAACTGGCAAGCTGACCGGTTGATCACAGTGGAGTGGGTAGAAGGGTGACACAACAACTGGCCTATGTGGATGAAGACTCTCTGACATATGGCAGTTGTGGGTACCTAAGGTGTGAAAGGTTCACAGTGATTGTCTCCCCTATCAGGTGGCGGGGCAGCCTGTCCAATCAGTGAGGAGGAGGGAGGAGGAAGAGGAGAAGGAGAGGAAGAGAACGTGGGCTGTGAGGAGGTAGTGGAAGAGGGGGAAGGTGAGACTTATCGCGGGGAGGAATGGCTGCCCCAAGGCTTCATGCTCTTGAGGTGTCTTCCCTTCTCTGCATGGCTTGCTCAGATTTTTCTCCATTTTTGACTTACTTTTGCTTGACTGTGGCCTGAAGTCCAAATGTGACAGAAGTGCCTTTCACGGGTCTTAGTAGAGATGAGCGTGTAGCTTGGATGGAAAAGTAGATCATTGACACCTCTTAATATCTATTGTAGACAATCTTTTATAATGCTTGGGGACAATGCTTTGCTCTGCTTTGACCAGCTATCCACTTGGTACTTGGATGGATATTATCAGTAGAGTAATCAGAAACTAAATCTAGTATGTAGTATTGATCTTGCACTTTGCACGGCTGTTTCATGGTATATGAAGAATGAAACAACTTAATAGTGATGCACCAGCTCTGAGATCCAGTGCAATTGTCTTAACACTTTCCCCAATTGGATTTGGTGACTTATATTTGCTGATAACAAGTTTATAATTTTCGTTTGATCCCAAGTGATTGAGTCATAGTTTGAACTGAGAGGACTGCTAAGTGTCCTGAGGTTTGTTGGAGAATCCCTTATTAAGACTTCCAGTGCGTCTTTCCGTAGCAGATCATCGCTATCTTGCAAAGTCATATTACCTGCAAGTGTGATTTTAAAAAGAAGTGGGGTTTCCTTTTGTCAGTGAACTGAGGGTACTATTGTGTGCTATGCATTGCTATGGTCTTTCTTTTTTGGGAAATTTGAGTTTCGTTTATGGACTTTGTCCCCCGATCCCCACCTTGGAATGCTGTCCCTGGTCCCTGTTGCGGGTCTATTGTGGACCACATGTCCCTTATTTGAACCTTGAGTGCTTGGTAGCGCTGTATTTGTCCTCTGCATCTATTCAAAAATTACTTTCTTTGTAGATGGTCTTGTTTGTCGTGTTTTATTATTTCAAAAATATACTTTGGTATTTTATGCTGTAATAATATTCTGCACGGTACTTTAAAATGTAGTTTTACTTACTTTGATCTGTAGTTGTCATTTCTATGTTAGTGCTGTACAGCTTTGAGGTTAATGATTGATCTCGTTTCATTTACCAAGAGTAATATTAACTCCAGGAATTGTTGCCCCTCCAGCTAAATGAGTGACTCAAACTGTTGAAGTTTTGATTGTACTTCTTATAATGAAATTGCTATCCTATTGCTTAATTAATCATTATGAAATCGTCTCGATAGTAATTTATACTAACAATATACTACTTATAACATGTAAACTAGCGTCCCAGAAAAGGTGTTTTTTCATGACCAAATCTTTGCAGGTAAAAAAAAAGATTAACTATAGAATGGAGGGCTGTTTGAAATAAGATGTCAAATTTTCTGCCTTCTGTAAACAAAAAGTTGTGATTTTACCAACACAATGGGGTTTGATCAGCATATTTTGAACAGACAAGTGTACAAGTTCAGGGCTTGTAATGAAAGTATATTTCCATCTTTATATGTGTACCCTGTCTCAAAATGTGGGATTGGCATTTGTGGTGTTATGACCAGGTTCTTCACCATGCTTCGGAAGATGGTATAATAATAATATGTGTCATTTGGATGAATTCAGTTCCGTTGTGAGGGAGACAGTTGTGTGTGTGTGTGTGTGTGTGTGTGTGTGTGTTTGTGTGTGTGTGTGTGCGTGTGTGTGTGGAGAGGGGAGGGGGGGAAGAGTATCACTCATCTTTTTGCTAGTGTGTCTCCCGCATTGGCGTGGTCAGTCCTGACAGGTGAGGTTCAAAGCCCACCCTCTAGTTGATCTAAATTGTGTTGATGAGGCCAAGTAAATTTAAAGTCATCCTTATCACATCAGGCCTCATGTGGTGTATGCTCCTCTGATGCTTGACATTTAGTGTAAGCACTACATACAAATTGAAACCTTGATTCTTTTCAGCCTAAGTTCTAGTATGTATATTTTGGGGACAATTTTATTTTGATATGGTAAACACATTTGGAACATAGTTCGCATGGCGCTCATATGACCTTATGCAGTTGCGAGCGCCGTAAAACCTCTACTATAACTAAACTAAACTTAGCATAGTTCCATATTTTGCTAAAGCTTTGATTTGTAACATATTGTCCTAGCTTGCACTTTTATTTTACTAGATTCTAGTACTTTTCTACGCTTTTATTTTAGTCTCCTGTTATTTTTAAAATGAAAATTTCTATAATGCAATAATAGTATAATATAACAGCTATCAAGTTATCAGTCTTTACTCTTTGGTTTGATGTTTTGTTAGTTCTTTCCAAAGATAAAGTTCCATTTCACCGTAAAAGTTGGATCCATTTTTGGAGAACACAAACTTGCATTGTGGATTTACTTCTTGTAAGGAGATAGGAATTATTGATTTCATTATACTGTTGTCTTTGAGTTTTGTATCAATGACAGCATTGTTTACTTACCAGCTGGTCTGACATAACTGACAATTACTTTTAATTATTGAAGAGAATTCAGGAGTCATAGTTAACCATGGGTGCTCCAGCAGCTCAGTTGGTATCATGTTAGACTATGGATCGGATGGCCCTGGTTCGAATCCCAGACTGCGCTTTCTTGAACTCAGATCATATTGTAGAGTTTTCAAGGCTTGGTCTTTTTGGGGATGGATGTTAAATTTAGGAGATTCCACTTCTTGATTTACCTTCTAATAGTGTTGATGGGGAGTAAACCCAAACAATTACTTAATAGTTAAGGGATGTGGAAACGAATGTCTCTGCTCATAGCACATATGTGAGGCAGCGTGGTGAAATCAGGCTCTAGTCAATATAATCAAAGTGAAGAAACTTGCATTTTTCCGCAGGCTTGTGAATTTTTATCAAATTTTTGTTTTTTGGTTCAACACCTTTCATGCCCATTAAAGAACTCATTTCTGTGTAGATTTTTCTGAAAAACGTTGATGAAAGGCACAAAAAATGTAAATTTTCAGTTACCACAGACTCTTATGCTAAGGAAATAACTAATCTTTGGCGGCCATTTTCTCACTACTTTTACCTCTGAAAACAGGTGACCCCCACCTCCTTCATTTGCAAATATCTCGACTTGTATTCAAGATAAATGGGTATTTTTTTCATCCAAATAAAGGCAAGTGAACAAGCTTTAAGATGATACCAATAACTCTACATGCCCAAAAATTGACGAGAGCCTGATTCCTCCACGGTGCCTCACATATTTTTTCATTTAAGAGACTGCGTTTCAGTTAGATTTGATAAGCCGTTGATGACACTTCTTGTAGCGGTATTATTAGAAAACATGCTGTAGTTTGCTATGTTCTTAGCTGGTCTTCTCAGCTGGAGCTCCTGGCCTTATCACTTTGTTGCATCCCACGTCTATTTCACCTCTTGCCTCCTCCACAAATATTGCTGTTGTATCTGTGTGACCTTGTGACCTTTGTGATCCTGCATGCGTGTGATGTGTTGCTTCGACAGACTGCAGCATGCCCCCAGCAGACAGCATGAGCTCTGAGAAGTATTTCACCATTCCACGGAGTGGAGAGGCCAGCTTGGCCTATCGTGCGGCTCTGGCCTCCATGCGGCCTGCCTCCACTGCAGGTTGGTGTGTGTGGACCCAGACTAACTCAGACTGCTCGGACCACTCTCTGGTCGGTCATATTTGGCCGGAGACCAGTCTGTGCCCATTTAGACTCGCTAAAAATCTGTGACAATGTGAACTCATGAGTCAGTCTGTTGCAATTTGAATTGAAAGTTCACATTGATGTAAGTCAATCTGTGCAATTTGAACTCCCTGAAGTCTTTCTGGTGGGCTTGCTGTCTGACATTCTCAAGAATGTCAGATATTTTAACGGGCGGCCACAGAAAAACAGTAACTTTTCTTGGGTGGTGTTAAATTTATCACAATCTGGTAACATGAAATAAATATCCACCTTTTCTGGTCATGTGTGAATTTTGGTGGATTATCTCTCCTTTTCTGGCTTAGTGCTCCTTATCAAACGAGAACAATGTTGACTCTCAAATAATTTTTAGAACATTTGTGTCTTTTTTTTCATCTAAAAACAGCGGCTTGATTATTTCATGAGTTCAAAGTGTTTGAGGTTTGGCTAATGTTTTTGTAATTTAGGATAGAAAAGATAGGTCAGATATCAGATCTAGGGAGAGGAGATATCAAGTAAGGTTAAATAGAAACATCAGTCAGACTTCTGAGTCCACCCAACTTCTTTTCAGGCTGTGGCCAAAGTCTGTATTCATCAAGAGGAAAAGCTGAGATCTAGGCATGAAAAGCTTTTGTTTGAGTGCCCCTAATGTCACGATAGTTATTAGCGGTGTTTCTGTGTTGTCGGTATAAAGCTAAAATGTCATATCTGCACAGTTTAAAATTTTAAGCCGTGGTCATCAGTCGCAGATGCCATTTCTGTCATTTACTAATGATCATATCTTTAGTTTGAAAATGCAGCTGTAAATGATTCTTAGTTGCATCGTCTACTGAAATTGAGCTCCTTTCAAATTTTTAAACGCTTTTTCTCAAAACACTTTTTTGCAGATATGACAATCTTGCATTATACCTTCAATGTGTGCCCTATCACACTGAGTGTGTTACTGTTGTAATATTGTGAAAAATATTTGTGTGTTTTATGGCAATGTCTGGTTCTGCACACACTGCACATTGAGTGTAACCGCCCTCTGCACCAACACACAACACATGTGAACTGAGAACATATACATGTCTAGTATCATGTGTGTATTTCTAGTTGACGCAATGGGTGGAGAGTGTATGACAGGACTGAGTCCTCTAGCTTGTGCTTTGCATCTTGTTCCTATCTTGGAACATCTGCTAGTTTGCTTGGTAAATAAAAATGCTTTATGGTGAAAGTAGTGGTAAATAGATATAGATATATTTGTCTGTTTTATTTATGGTACCGACTGCATGCTAAGTTGTATTTTTAAGGGATTGAATCGATTCACTGTTTTCTTTTCGGCGTTATTATGTGTATGTTGAATGTTAAAAGCCAGTGCTGACATTTTTTTGTATATCAAGCGGATTTTTTGGGGGGTGTTTTGAATAAAAAATACTTGTAAATTTTCAGAAGTAATTCAATAATGAAGTATTTTTCTTTTCAGTTTTATCATCTAAAGCATTTTGTTTTCCTACAAGCGGTTGATAATATTACAAAATCTGATTCTTGTCTTGTTCACCTGTGTAGGTATCCCCGTGTCTGGCACGAATGTCTCAAGACGTTGTTCCGTCAACTCCCAAAAGCCCCCACCTCCAGTAAGACGAACAGCCTCGGTGACAGGGTCAACTCCAGTCCATGTTCAGAAACTTCGGAACTCGCCCCCACGGCAGTTGTCGGCCGACGGAGTCGAAGACGTGTACGCCATGGGTGGTGGGGAGGGAATGGTGGAAGGTCCTTATGCTGAGCTGCAGCTGATCCAGCAGTCTATTCATGGTGCGGGGGGAACAAGGCCGGGGCCTGCCACACCCACCAAACCCACACAGCGCCCGCCTGGGATGGGCAACTCTCATGGACCAGGGGCACCAGTGCCTCCCTCTACTCAGGAGCCCGTCGCCACGGCAACAGTGATCCAGAGCCTCAATGCTAAGTTTGCTTCTCTGAACAGCCAGTACCAGGATGGGGTGGAGGTGGCGCCAGAAGGCGTGGCTGGAGTGGTCAGTCCTGGAGGTGGACCCAAGGGCCAGAAGCCAGCACCTCCTGCCGTCATGCAAAAGCCTGTCCGATCGGGGATCCCCCCTCCTCCATCAGTCATTGCTGCACAGCAGGCTCACCCACGTGTGCAGCAGCAACATCCACAGCAGCAGCAGCAGCAGCACTACTACCACCCCCATCAACAACAACAGCGGCCAAACGACCACCTCGGAGGCCATCCCTCCGCAGCAGGGAGAGGTGCTCACCCTCAAGACCCTAGACGCTCAGCCCATGGACACCCTGGGCACCAGCAACAACATCATCACAACCAGCAACCGCGACAGCTTCAGCATGGCAAGAGCTGGCATGGACATCCACAGCAGCAGCACCGGCCTCACCAGCAACAGCTACAGCAGCAGCTCAGTCACTCGGGACATTACGCAGAGGCCAACGCTCACCTCCAACACCAACACCAACAGCACCATCAACACCAGCAACGACAACAACACCGCGTGTCCGGCGGAGAGGAAGACTTTCCGCTACCTCCCACAGCAGAGGAGTTGCAGGAAATGGAGCGGATATACAGCCGCCCGCCTCCCATTGGGCCCTCAGTACAAGCGCCTGTTGGACAGAGAGTACAGCAGAAGCGACAGCCTGCCATGCACTCGCAGCAACAACAACAACAACAGCAGCAGCAGCAGCAACAGCAACAACAGGCTCCTCAAGGAAACGCTGTTCCAGCCTCGTTGTTAATGGAGCTGAAGCGGAGAGTTTCTGTAGACGATTCCTCCAATGCGTAGACTTGACATTTTATGATTGTAGATGGACTGTGTGAGATGATGGAAACAGGGAAAAACCTTGGCAGACTTTTGTTGAACTGTCAGGTCTTTTTTTGTTTGTTTGTGTTTATGAAATGAGCACGCTTTTGTGCAGGGCACAACGTTTCTCATTTTTCTGGTACCGGAAGAGAGAATCGGTACAGGCTAAGCCTCACTTTGAATCCGGCATGTGTGGTGCTGGTGTGTTGATAATGTGCAATGTGGGAGGGGCTGGAGGGTGTGAGTTGTGTCTGAGGTTAGAGGCTGAGAAGTTCCAGGGAGATGCTGCCAGATGTGTATGGAAATGTGGCTAGTTGTCTGCTGATTGTGTCAGCTGACTGTTGGTGATTGTATTATTGGTTGGTGACTTCCTTTGTACCTTGTACTCTCTCCTCTAGGGCCATCCACCCGTGTATTGAATGACATGTTGCTGATGAAATAGTAGTTTATAAGTAGTGTGTATGTACAGTGTACAGAAATCCAGGGGACTCGTTGCAGGCCAGGCCGACTATGGGGGCTGTGTTGTGGTTGTGAACTCGCTCCTCAGAGAAATCCTGAGTTTCAATGTTGAATGACATCACAACTAGACTTGCCTTCTACACTACAAGTCGCACCAAGGGCACATCTTATGAGAGCAGCGCCGCATCTTTAACGCTAGCCCTGTCCTTGTCTCAGACCGGTGTGCGTGTGTGGACAGATCGCTGCTTCTTCACGTTGCTCCCCTAGACAACAGACCCAAGTTGTAATCTGACATAGAACCGAGTTCGTTAATGCTACTTGCCAAGAGAACATGAAAGAGAAAATGAAGATGAGATGTGACCATTTCCAATTAATAGTGTAGAGCTTTGTCGTAACCATAGATCAGTATATCAATATCATCAGTGGTGTTGGGTCCAACCTTACAGACTCCTAGGTGCGCTTTAAAATTTTCATGGTTTTATCCAGAACTTCATGCTTTACATCATCTATTTATGTACCTGTACCCTAAAGCTAATAGAAATATGTTGCAAAACTCAAATTCCATTGAAATAACTAACTGCGGGCGGGGAGTTGTCTCTCTTAAAATAAGGCTCTCAAGAGAAGGCCACTTTTTGACCCACTCCCCCATTGTTGTGCTTATGGTACAAATAAGGGCGACTGAATAAAAAAAGTTGGGATTGCTTTTTTAATTTGATTTTTCTTCCACTCGGGAAGGATGATCTATGTCAGGTGCCTATCACTTGTCTAGTTTGATTCCTATGTTGATATCAGTGCCAGCTCCAGTTTGAATTATCCCAAGTTCCACTGGATGGTTTGATCTTTTCCAGTGCATGATACGGAAAATGAGTTATACAAATGCTCATCAGTTTGTTGGGTTTTTTTCTCTCTGTTAGGGAGAACTGTGCTTTTGAAAAAATGTTAATAAAACAGCAAGTTGTAAATTTTGTTGAGTTTTACAAATAAAATAAAAAATATCTGGCTGTTAGTGTTATAGTTTGAGTGTACGTCTTAACTAAAGCTCTTACACTTACATATTCACCTGAACCCAAGGCATCCAGCCAGGCAGGATTCAGTTTTCATCTAATAGACTTTCAAATAATAGGTTAGCTGTGCTCTATTTTTTTCCTCTCTTTCTGCTTGGTAACAAAAAATTGCCTGATCATGTGATCAGTGCTGCGTACAGACATTGAGACTACCATGGGGAAGGGGTGTTGCCTGTATATAGTTGTCCTGTTGTGTTACTTGCAAATTGCTTTGAAGAGAATCAAACCGGCGTAATTAAGAAGTTCTTTCCATGCATCGCACAAACTGTTCTGAACAAGAGATTGCAGAGGTTTCTTCATCTTTATGGGCATTATTATAATTTTCATACATGCATATTTTATTTCCGAATGTGGGGGATGGAAAATATTTTTATGCTTTGCATTTGAATTAAACTCTTCAGTATGCTTTTACAATTTACAATTGTGTTGTAACGTTTCACCTGCACAGTTTCAGCTGGAGAAATTTAAGTCCCTAACTGTTTGTTTTATAAAGAGGCTGAACTGTCTTGCAATTAATGATTTCATTGAGACTAGACATTCGATTGTTTTCTTGATACTGCTATTTCTGTACTTAAATATGTACAGGTTATGTATTTCTAGTGCTCGGAAATCCCAGAGGTGGTTTCCATGTTTGGTAGTATTTTCAGTGACCTGGGAGATAACACAGTGCTTTTGGCTGGCCTTGGTTTCTATTATTGTGTAAAGAATGTTGGAATGGGAAAACTTGAAAGAGATTCTAATTGTATCGTTAACATCAATTGACATTTTCAGTCTTAAGTCACTCAAGTGCTTGCTCGCATTATTTTGTTTTTCAAGCTGTTGAAAAGTCGCAGAGATTGGAGCAGATGCAACATGCTGTCCAGCAGGAAAAGGATAAAGATCTGATTGGTGGACTCATCGGTCTGTGTCAAAATAATGTCAAGGATGTTGAGCTTAGCATTGAGGAATAAACTGTGGTTCACTTTTATCAACATCTGGGCTGTGAATTGCTACATCTTTTTGGTTTGTTTGTTCTCATTGACTGTTGGAATATTCTCCGTGACAAGTTTACTTTTCATATTGCTGAATAATCTTTTTGCAACAGAGGATGATCTTGTGGTCTTCAGCATAACTTTGCTGCTTAGTCTGTTTTTTTAAGATGAACCCACAATCTGTTGCTAACAAGCTTCAGTATACAGTCATAGTTTTTTCTTCTTGTTGGCTCCAAACTTTTGACTCCCAGACCTCTGGCTCTACCAAGACTTGATTCTAGCTCTGTTACATCACATTGAAACTCAGAACTTTATTTTTCTCAATCTACATTGTTGCTGCATTGTGAAGAGTCAGCCACAATTTACATAATTTAGCATTACAATCTACTCTCAAAGTTTCATGGAAGATGCATCGATTCTCACTGGGATTGATTTGTTAATATTCGCTTTGTGCTTTGGTGAATGAAACTGGTGATGAGGAAATTGGGGTCTGTGTATGTCTCGTTCAGTAGTTTGTGTCTCTGCAGCAGCTATATTGGCACGATCATGATTCTGAAGGAACTTGATGGCCAGAGAACAGTGTTACAGGCTGATTGCTTAATCTGTAACAGTTTATAGGTCATAAACTATGCAGGTGTGGACTTTTTGGGGGAAAAGTTCTATGTTGGCTTTTACTCAGTTATGGTTGCTTAAGATTAAGAATCCTTCGTTCATCCCATTATTTTGTATTTCTTGCTATAAGATCCAAGTTGAATCCACAAACTTATACTCATGAATTCTGCACTCAGTACTGGGAAAGAAAAGCCCGGTAGATTTCACATATACCTAATTATATATATCGGAAATTTTATATGACTACTCCAGAGAATGCTTTCATTTGCCATTGACTCACGAATGTGTCACTTTTGTTCTCAGATCTGTTAGACATCTCATGAAAAAAATCTGACTATATGCTTGCTCTGTGTATTTATTTGTTCAGTTTTATTTCCAAAGATAATTTTCAGTTTGGTTTTGAATGTTTTATTATAGCAACAGCATCACCAACAACCGTATACTTGCAGTTGTTGAAACATTCGGATCTGTCTACAGGAACTCTTTTCAGATTGTCAGAAAAAGTTTGATGCAAAAAGTTTTTTAAAAATAATGTTGTTCTTGATTATATTATGTTGCATTCAGCTCAAATTATGTAACACTTTTCATTACATGATTTAAATGGGTGTATGTTTGATGCATTTGCATTTTCTATATTGTTGGACTCTAGCTGCAGGAGAATTCTGTGTCCTGTCAATTTCAGACACAGTAAACAAATGGAATGTTCTTCTCAGTAGTTGTTAGTATATTGTTTTGTGGGAAAGGGGATGAAGGGATGTAAGATAGTTAATAGTGCTTAGAACAGAATAAATCATCTATTCCTTGTCTGTAATATGGTAGGTTATGTATTTTCCGTAGGTATGTTTTATTTAAAACAATCTTTATTTTTCTTCGCTTGATGGACTGTCGATAGATGATGGACTGGTAGGATACTACGAGTACAGGAGTCTGAAGTAAGGTTCCTTCTGGCTTTATTTGTTTGTTTTTCTCTTCTCTGTTTGGCATTTCCTTACTTTGTGCCGGGGGGAGGGGGGGGGGGTGTAAGTAGGGGGGGGGAGGGGAGGTGGTGTAGGTGGGTGGGAGGGGAGGTGGTGTAGGTAGGTGGACGGTGAGCAGTTTGAAACTGAAAACTCCTCCTTTGGCTGTCTTTAGATGCTGGGCGGGTAGGTGACTCCCAATACATGAGTCTAGTTGAGCTAGTTCAAGGTTCCTCAAGGGTTCATTTTTCTTCCTTCTGTGAAGCATTACCTTCATGACTGATTGTTGATGAATGCTTGTGCTATCTCTGAATGGTGAAGACTGAGTCCTGTTATTATTGCTTAAAGGTTATTGGCTCTTGTTTGATATACATTGTGTAGAAGTTATCAAGAATAGAGAGTTTTGCAGTGGCTGAAACATACAGATAGCAGATAATCAGTAACACATAGGTGAGACATTTAAGAATAGAACGTAGTCCAGTAGTTCACTTTTTAGCTGTTGAGTCCTTTAAAGTCATTTATACTTGATAGACAAGGCGTGTGGTGTTTAAGAACCAGTTTGATTGTCGCAGCGTGATGGAAACCTTTGAATTATGGTCTAGGTTTGGTTTTACTCTTTGTTGATCCATATACTGGAATCAGAACGAATTTTGTGTTGTTTTTGTGTTGGAGGTAGACACCATTCTCCTTGGAGTGGGCTGATAAATTTTGTACATTCTGTAAATGACCATGTGTACTGCTCTCCTGTACAGAATTAAATACTTGTCTGTATTGTTTCCTACATCCCATTTATTTAGCACAGTAATTTATTATTTATTTTGCCATTCAAATGTTCTTGCTTTATTGTGTTTCCTACTACACAGTGTGCATCCTGTTGTGTGTGTGTGTGTGTGTGTGTGTGTGTGTGTGTGTGTGTGTGTGTGTGTGTGTGTGTGTGAGTGTGAGTGAGTGAGTGTTTGGCATCTGCTAGACCAACCAAGGTGTGGCTGATGTTAAATGAGAATAGAGAATCTGTAGATAGGACAAGTGAAGTCAAAGATCTGTGGGAACTAGGGTGTTTGTTGTGTGTTGAAAGTTCGAGAGCCTGTGTTTTTCTGTATGGGTGGTTGATGATGCCATGACGTCTAAACCCTTATGTGTCAGAGGAACTTTGGTAGAACTACTTAGTCAACTTTTGCACTTTGTGACAATTCATAGTTGTACTCAGAATTTTTACTCTGTAAACTCTGGCACAGTATGCAGCTCATTTAACGGGCCCATGCACTATGTGTGTGAAGATTGTGTGTGTGTGTGTGTGTCCATGCATATATGTATTTGTGCATGTATACATGTCCTCAGAGGCCTCACTGTCAGACTGCTCGTCATTAGTATCTGTTGGGAGCAAAGTGGCAAAAGGTTTGGCCCTGCAACTGAGGTCAAGCTCAGTCTGGTGCAGCAGGGGATATCATGTGCTGGCTTTGCAAGTACTTCACTGAACCATGCGCATGCCTGAAGATTGTATGCAATGTGTTCTTATTCTTTTCTGAAAGTATCACAGGTGATAGAATAAGTATCAATGCAGTTTAGTAAAGCAAAAAATCCCCCCCCTTCATAAAAACCCCAACAAAATTAAAGGTTAAAGTCCTTAATATACATAATATTTATAACATGTAAAAGAGTACTCTGAGGCCGTCTGACTCGAATCAGGCCAGATATGAGTGCGAGAAAGGGATGAAGAAGGGGGTGGGCCATAGTTGTTCTTGTTGTTTATGTGCTGTGCTTAACTCTTAGGTAATTTTATTTTCCATGGAATAACAAGCAGAGAGATCCCCCTGAAGGGTGCCATGAGTCAGCTGCTGAGGACAGTACCATCTGATCTCAACAAATGTACATAGAGACACCTCAGACTGACAATCCTGTCAGTGCTGTGAAGAGGCGGAGGAAAGGTGTACTCGCAAACTTTTTACTTACATCTAAGTTAAAACTTACATAATGTACTGGCTTTTCAATCCCATACTCAGCCTAGCATTTAGCTTGCTCTGTTGTATACTCTAAGATGTTGTAGGGTCAGATTATTTTTTGAGATTTGTTCTCATGTTTTCCATTTCCACTGAAGAAGTTGCCATGTCTATTATCAGAAAATCCATCCGAAAAATGAGATGAAAAAAAAAATGATTGCAAGAAGTTCCTGCTCCTGGTTTTGATCTGAAAGTCTTGTAGACTGTTTTCCATATATTGCTCCTGATGATACATTTTGATAGAAGATGTGCTCAGAATATATAATTTCGAATGGAATTTCATAATTTCTATTTTTGTGCATGAAAAAGGTGTGACGCATTAAAATCCCTGCACCTGAAATTCAGTTTCTGAAGTGTTATGCCTTGGTAAGTTTTGGTAGTTTATGTTTCGTCATGCATACATTTAATGCCAAAAATGCTGATTATGCGAATTCAGCTGTGAACATTTTTTTCCGAGATTTATCAGAACAATTCCACGGTATTCAAGACATTCAAAAGGTGGAAAGCCGAATTCTGCTTTTGTTGTCATGCAGGACGTCCCTCTGTCATTTGTTATATGGACCAGGTTGTTGCTCCCTTCCCCTGTTGGGTCTGCCTTCATGTATTTTCGGGATCGTGTAGCTCTGAGAAAACTTGACTCTCCAGCCCACATGCTGTTGCTGTTAGTCAAGTGTATTTGGAATTCAACAAAACCTCGTAAATGAGAGCTGAGTAAATATTTTCTGTCTCTGAGAAAATTGTGTGAGCGTAGAGAGTTTTTCAAACTTTGAATGAGTTTTCAAATGTAGAATGGAATGTTTTTTGTAGGAATATATTTGTGTCTGAAGCTATCGACATTTAGCTCATATAATTAATTGCTCATACTCATATATAGTTTGGTGAGGATTGTGCACAAGTCCACTCAAAATTAAAAATGAGATGCCAGTTTCTGATGTGGTATATGTATATATATATACATGCCTCAACTTGTACAAACTTTGAGATTTTAGGCTTTAAAAGTATCTTGCCGATTATGTATTTTTGATTTGATTGAAATTATTCTACAATACAGCTGAATCATACTGGTAGTTGACGTACATAGATGACTTACTTTATTCCTAAGGTCTGCCGTCTTGAAAAACGCAGACAGGAAAGCATGTAACTATGTTATCGATGTGGAAGTGAAAGTTGCATTGGCTGCTATTTGTGGATTATGTGTGTGTGTGTGTGTGTGTGTGTGTGTGCGCGCGTGTGAGAGAGAGAGAGTGTTTGTGTGTGTGTGTGTGTGTGTGTGAGAGAGAGAGAGAGAGAGAGAGAGAGAGAGAGAGAGAGAGAGAGAGAGAGTTTATGTGTGTGTGCGTGCGTGATATCGGCCATCATTTGATTGGTTCTGTTTGTGGCTGATGATTGATGTGGTCCTGATTGATTTTTAGTAGCCCCAGTATCCAGGCAACTCCCTCATTTGTTGTCTTATCTACCTGAGTTGGGTTGGTTTTTTTTGTTTTTTTTTAAACCATACGAACTTCATATTTTGTCCTTATTTGTGCTGTTTAGTTTTAGACGGATTTTTTTTCCTTTTCATGTATTTTGTGCTGTTCTTTGGTTTAGTGATGGAAAATACATCGCATGTCTCAAAAGTAGTTACTGTGTTTGTTGGTTTGTGTCTTGCAGTGGTTGTTTGAATTTGAAGATGGGTGGTTGGTGAGTGCTCTGGTGTGGTTTTCCCCTTCTACAGAATTGAAGATGGCAATAGAAATAATACTAAAATAGGCCCACTGTTTCTGTTATCCTGTTTAACTAAACATGCAAAGGATCGAAACACAGACAGATACAGTCAAAAACAGACATGCTATACAAGTCATCCTTCTCCTCTAGTCTAGCCATAAGTGGTTTGACTTAGAATGAAACATTTGTGCTTGTTCTTCTTTCCTATCAAACATCTATCGTCCTTATCTCCCCTTCTTTTTTTATGCTTGTTACTCTCTTGTAACTCCTCTAATCTTCTGGCGCTCATATGACATTATGCAGTAGCGAGCGCTGTAAAACCTGTACTAAAAAAAAAAGGTTTAATTTTACATAATTGTGGAGTTTGACTCTTGGCTTAATCAAATAATCGGCGTCTATTGTGCAGCAGTTGGGCCAAAGATAGTATGGTTGGGCGCTTCATCGTCTCAGGCAGAAGACCCGAATTCGATTCTTAAGTGGGGAGAATTTTTATCGAGTGGTTGGGCCTATTTGTGGGAGGCTGTACCCCTCTCAGCCTGGATTGTCACTGACATACATGGTGGATGCCCTCTATTAAGCTGATCGGCGGGGCGGCAATGACCTCTAAGTCTTACTCAACTGCGGCTCGACCTGAGGGCCCGGAGGACCCCCATATCTTTGCCTCCCGACGTGAGAAGTGCGAGTAGTATCGTCGTATATCCGGGCGGGATTCTGACTTGGAGGCGTTCGGCCATAATCCATCAGATGAGAGTTAAAATTCTAAATTTAAAAAAAGCAAGAAAAGATACATAATGTTGTTAAATGATCTTAGTTATACCGATGTGGGTGTTATAACACCTGCATTTTATTTTAGCTTGATTCGCCGCAGTCACCATGTCTCCCATCAGTTGTTCCTTACCTTTAACTCTCCACCCGTGGTAAGGTAGTCAAAAAGATTGGAATCAAGTCAATTTTAAGTTCAGTTTGCTAGTCAATGTTGTGGTGACAAGTTGACCTTCTCAGGACGAACGTAAAGTAACTGAAAAAAGCTGTGGCCCGGATGAGGACACTTTACAGTATTTTGATGACCAAAGCAATCAGTGAAGTTGTTGACAATGATGATGATGATGATGATGATGACAATTAGAACAACAAAAATAATGATAATAATTATTATTATATGATAATATATGTATTGCTGATAATGAAAAAGATAATAATAATAATAATAATAATAGTAGTAATAATAATAATAGTAATAAAGATAATAATACATGTAGTAGTAGTAATCGTAGTAGTAGTAAGAACTGAAGATAGGCACTACAATAATAATGATAATAATGATAATAATAGTAATTATAATTATAATTATAATAATAGTAGTAGTAGTAGTAAAAATTGTTGATAGGCACAGTATAGTAATAATGATATTAATAATATTACTAATAATAGCCTACTACTAATAATAATACTAGTAGTAGTAGGAGGAGAAATGTTAAATTGGAATGTTGACTCGTTTTGTAAAAGCTTCCTCGTCCCTTATGAATGTCGAGGAAGGGAGCACTACACCCTCTTTGACCGGTACAGCCGCACCAGACTTTTTCAGAATCACGTCTCGGAGGGTGACTTTGTGCTTTCCAAGGCGACGACTGGCTACTTACTATGTCTTACTAGAAAGCAGGTAGCTAGAAAGTGCCACTGGAATGTTCTACTTCTTTATTTCTTTCCTTTCCTTTTGCTAACTCTGTCAACCTGTCGCACTCTAACATGCACTAAATCACTATTCTTTCTTTGTACTTCTCTTTGCTAAATCCATACTCAATCTAGTAATACTCGGTCAAAATTAGTGCACCATTTATTACAGTCTTATATCTTTTCCACTTCGTAACGCGTGTGCCTTTAAGGCGTGGCTGAAAACTGCTCGCTTTAAGAACAAGACCGTGAGTAAGCTGTCCGTCAGTAAGACCTAAAGTAAACTATCGTGCCACTCGCTGAGACTGAGGCACAACTTGGGGATTCAAACCCTGGGTCTCAACAGCTTGCACAACGATAATATGTAATATAATATTATGCTCATATCAACAGTACGTAGACTCGAACCTATGTCCTCATGATGGCAGTCTAGAAACTCCTCACTAACAGGACTGGTTGCACACCGGGCCCGGGGAAGATAAGGAATAAATCAAAGTCCACGAATGGAAGACCCGGAAGATACATCATGTACTTCATTGTAATCATAGGCCCAAAAGAGGGAGCTCGTTGTTTCGTGCCTGCTGTGGTGTAGACTTGGGTAGGCACAGAGAAGACCAGCAGTACTGAAAGTCCTGGGCGTGGCCACGTCGAGTGTGCGAGAAAGTACACCCTTTGCGGTGGGACTGACACAGCTGACTGAACCTGCTGTAACAGTTTAAAACCTCCGATATCGTAACGTAAATAATTTCGGTTATGAGCTGCTTCGACTCTGAGAGCCTGAGCCAATCCTTGTTGAGAGTGATACATCTTAACACTAACAGAAAGACGGAACGACGCGATATCGATAGAATACCTTTTCCAATTCTGAATCGAACTAAAGTCCTTTACAAGCAAGGCGAAAAGCGTGGAAAAAGTTACACTAATGTTAGTTCTGGATTGCTTTGGTCAATTTGTTCCGTAGGTATATGGAGATAGCGGAAGACCCCAGATGTGTATATTTTTGCAGCAGACAGAGAATCTGGAGTGGTTGGTTCGAGGGTGCCACTGGTTGGTCCTACTTCTTTACTTTCCCTCTGTTGTTTCTACCTGTCTGTCTTACTTTTTCCCAGCATTAAATGGCCGTCATTGTGTTGACGTGCTTCTCTTTCCTCACAACAAACAAACAATGGAGAATCTCGAATGTTGTAGATGTGCACGTGGTGACGAATCTGGAATAATGTGGCTTTCTCAGAACTTTCTCTTTTTTGTGTTGGAGGTAACCGAATAATGTAGTTGTCTAGAATGTGGATAAATCGGAAAATCGTAAGCAGCCTACTATTTAAAAAAAAGAATAATTTAGTAGAGGTTTTACGGCGCTCTCAACTGCATAAGGTCACATGAGCGCCAAGGGGTGGATGTCAAGAGAGAAGTCTTTACAGGGAATCGGGGTTACTCTGCTCACCTCTCTAGCTTCAACTTCAACAGCACAAAGTCTGTTTCGACTTTCAAGGCACCCCGGAAATAGCGGGTCACAAGAGTGTGACAAACATACAAAAGAAGTAGAGGAAAATGACGATAGTAAGGATTAGGAAAGAAAAAGCAGCAGTTCCCTGTTGTAGTTCAGACGCAGTTATAAGCATGATATTGTTGAATAAGCCCATTTACAACTGTGCTTAAGAACGAGAAATGTCCACCCTTTAGGAATGGCCTAAAGACACTTCAGTCAGTGGCACCGCCCCGAGAGGCTAGCCTACGATGTCGTCTAGAAAACAGAATAGTTTTTGTTTGTTTGTTTTTTTAGATGCCAGATAAACCGGAGTACTGTAACTTTCTCTTCTTGATGGCGGATAAACTGGAGTACCGTAACCTTATCTTCTTGATGGCGAATAAACCGGATTACTGTAACTTTCTCTTCTTGATGCCGAATAAACCGGAGTGCCGTAACATTATCTTCTAATCTAGATGGCGGATAAACCGGATTAGGCCTACTGTGACTTTCTCTTCTAGAGATGAGTATAAACTGGAGTAGCGAAATCTTCTACATTGGGGAGAAATCAAAATGTTGACGACTTGGTGAATGTAGTAGCGGTGAGTCCAGAGTGTTGTGGGCTACGGGGTGGGATACAACTTCAAATGACGTAACCTTCTAGATGATGTGGAGTTTTGAATGTCAAAGGCTTCGGGGTTGCTGGAGAGACTGGGCTATTGTGGGTACTGTGGTACTGTGACTGTGAGGACGGCATAGGGAAGGCAGTGCTGGCTGCCGGTTATAAGGATCCCAACATGTCGTAGCTGAAACGTATTGGGAAGAAACGTTGTTGTTGTTATTGTTGTAGCTGTTGTTGTTGTTGTTGTTGTAGCTGTTGTTGTTGTTGTTGTTGTTGTTGTTGTTGTTGTTGTTGTTGTTGATGATGATGATGATGATGATGATGATGATGATGATGCTGATGATGATGATGATGATGATGATGATGATGAAGGGGACCCTGATAATTTATGAATTCTTAACATGCAGAGCTAGGTTGCTATAGTTTATTAATTCTTAAAATGCAGAGCTAGGAATGTTTATTTATTATTATTTTAAAAATAACATTGAACCACTTATTAAAGGAATGATATATGAACTAGTGTAAAAAAACAAAACAACAACAACCCTGTTTACCTTGCATTCACATTATGATTTAACCACCAAAGCTGTTTGTAATCATATTAAGACTGTTCTATTTATATAAAAAAGAAACCTATACCGAATAGAAAAGATAGGTATTATTTATAGATATTGTTAATAAAGGACAATGGCAATAACGCTGACAATTTTTATTTCTCTTGCAGGGAGACATTTTTTTTATTGGTCTTTTACAATGTTAGTGGTGTTACATCTATCTATCTATCTATCTATCTATCTATCTATCTATCTATCTATCTATCTATCTGTCTATCAAATGCTGACATCTATGTATTCAAGTATAAAGTTTGCGCAGGAAAACAGGCCACAGAGGTTAGACCATAACCACCTCCTCTGTGTTGTTACCAGACCTAGGTTAGCTCCAGCTATTATCGTCCGCGAATCATCAGTGAAAATCAAACATAATTTATGTAATTATTGTCACCCCCCCCCCACCCCTCACTCGACCAAATTTATACCGTATAGGAAAGGGGCTGCGACGACCTCACCGATCAGGGCCAACTTGCACAGATCGAATACCACATCCAAGCAAATAAATGAAACAACAACAACAACAACAACAACAACAACAACAACAACAACAGCAACAACAACAACAACGACGACACTAAAACGAACCAAACTTCCACACTCGGGAATCAAACTCAATCTGTTGCGTACGTATAACGATTTAGAGTAGTAACCATACCACTACAGACGCTGGTGATCCAACCACTAGGCGGCACAGGTTCTTACCCTAACATGTCGGTCACAGTGACATCATTGACGCGTCATTTCAGAGTTCAGAGTTTGACAACGAGCCTAAGAAAGGAAGGAAGGAAACGATGTACCAGTACCTTTATAAAAGATAATAGCTCTACGTCAACGTAGCTCCAACATTATTATGCTTTGTTTTATACATCAGAGTCTGATGTTACTTCAGTCATAACAGGTCATGTCCTGTAGCACAAAGGAGCTTCCATCACATTAAAAAGACCCAAGACAGAGATTTATAATGAAAAAACAACAGCCACTTAATTTTTCATGGTTTTTCTTTTTTAATAGCATGCCAAGCAGTCTGTTTCACTGCATCGTGTTCTTTTTGCTCGCAGTCGCAGCGTGTGATTTCTCTTCGACAATAGATCTTTTAGGGGGCGTTAATTCCCCTTTATCTCAATGAAATTCTAATCGCTCGTCCCAAGCAGTTTACTAGTTCTGTCTCACTGCTCTCTACTCTCTACCGCAGGCGTTACAATAATTATTGCCTACTTCTGCATAATTAGAGGACAAAAGTTGGAGATTACGACTCATCAATTCTCACATCAACGAGGATTTTTTAAAAAAAGGTATTATTATTCCAGCAGTTTACTCTGTAGACTGCGATAAGTGGTGGTAAATCATAATTTGACGTCGTTACTCTTTTTTATGTGTGTGTGTGTGTGTGTGTGGGGGGGTGGGGGGGGGGGGGTGTTAAAATTACATAGCGACTTTCATTAAAGAAAAGTGGACTTGCAATTGTAGTTGACTTTATCTCGCCTTTCTATGCCAACTTTGGACTGTGCAGTGAGAAGAGATGGGTTGAAACAAAAATCAAAGATTTCCATGCACATGTAAAAGAGTTTCTGAAAAAGAGTACAGATTATACAAGTTAGGACAAGTCATGCTAAAACAAAATCCTGCGTATGTAATCACTCTCGACAATTTCTAGTATTATCTACTTCAACTTCAACTGAGCCAGTAATCATTTTACAACCCTAAAATATATTTTTTTGGGGAAATTGTGAAGCAAGAAAAAATATTCGAAAAAAAAGTTGCTTTTGGAACTAGGTTTAAAGAATCCTCTTGGCGTGGTTAGAGTAGAATCTTTGACTAAATATCGAGAATAGTTTCAAAGCGAGTTGAGCTCTCGAGCAAACTCATGTCTGTCAGAAACATAACCCTGCCGGGGGAGCTGCCTGGTCTGGTCGGGCCTGAGGTGAAGCGAGTGTTCGTGGTCATGAATCTGGTCGTCCTCAGTCAGATCGTCTGTACGTTTGGCATCGGTGCTAACATTGTCAATATGGTCATATTCAAGAAGCACGGTTTCGATGACACGGTCAACATCAGTCTTTTCTCTCTGGCGATCAGTGACTTTGGGGCTCTGATCACACAGCAGTGGTTCATCATCTGTCTGAACCCGTGGTTCGAGAACTCAGACATCCCTTTCAGTTCCATGGAGATTCAGAGTTTAACAGCAGGATACCCTCACAGGTATTTTGTGAAAACCGCAGCCTGGATTACGGCATTCGTTACCTTTGAGCGAAGTCTTTGTGTTGCTCTACCTCTGAAAGTGAAATCTCTGATCACCCGCAAGGTTGCCTTTGCATTTAACGTCGGCATTTATCTCTTCATGACACTCACCATGTATCCTCTCTACAGCACGACGTATTTCG